TCCAAGATACCTGGCCTTCACTTTGGCCTTCCAATTCCACATGCCAACCCCTGGCCACCTTTCCTGGCACGGAGGGCACGCCCAAATACCCAAACATTTTCCGAGGTCAGGGGAGGGACCCGACCCAGCATCTTTCTTTTCCTGTACTCCTCTTCCCAAAGGTTCGGCAAGGACCATACCCGCCACTAGCCCCCAGCTGCATTTACGCCTAAATCAGCGGGCGCGACCCCCAAGCAACGCCATGGCCTGCTCCAATGCGTCCTGTAGCGCTAAATTAAATAAGTCCAAGCCTACATCAGTTAGATGGACCCCGTCCGGGCGAAAATAGATTGCTGCCTCACGCTCAAAAATACGGTGTCGCACTGTTAAGCCCCCGATGCTGAGAACAAATTTGGAAACCCGTTTATTAATTTTCACCCTGCAGCGCTCCATCGCACCCTGATCGCGTGCGCACTGCCAATAATTCCTGGAAACGATATCCGACCAGACTAAGCAAAGTTGTGGAAAAAGCACACGCAAGCGCGCCAAATCTCGCCTGATTAGTTCCCCCAGGCCCCACGCAGGCAGCGACCCCAGATCGTTTCCCCCCAGATGCACCACCAAGACATCCGGGGCTCCTAATAAAGTGGATAACTGCACGACCTCTGGCAATAGCTGACCCCATCTCATGCCCCGGAACCCGAACCACCGGACCTCCGCCAGCTCCCGAGGTATTCCGAGCCGTGTCCCACCCGGGCGTACCCCTGCCCGCAGGTGAGCCCAGTAGATGTAAGAATGACCGATCAGCCAGATCCGTCGGCCGGGTCCTGTGGAGAAAACACAAGGGGGAAACCGATCAGACGTGTGGGCCGTACATAGGACCGAAACCTCCCCGATTCCCATCTGCCAATCCTCTGAATGGCCTGGTCCGAAAAACCTAAACGGGAGGCTTCAGTTGCAGCCCCAATCCGAAAAGAATGCCCCCCAAAGTCTTTACTCGAAATACCCAGATGGTCGAGTGCCAGCCGAAAGACCCGGAGAAATTGGAAGCGAGAAAGGAAGGAACCATCCCCATGAATTAATAGAGGGCCCTCAACACCCGGGCGACCAAGACAATAAGACTGAAAGGATGCGACAGGGCAGACAGCCGAACCAGGAATGGCGCGGAGGGTAACCCATGTCCCCCTGCCGAAGATGTCGGTTTTGGACCTCCGCACCAAAAAACGCACCGAATCCGACACAACAGACACATCGTTGAACAACTAGCCCCCCGGGATCCGTTTGCTAGGGCTCACAAGCTCGCCGATCCGAAGAGCGCCAAAAAAGGCGAAAGTAAAAGCCACCTGGAACAAACGTGCCTCCAAATCGGAAAAACAAACCTTGGGTAAGATCGATGCAATACCAACCAGCAGAGCGCCAGAGACCGGCCTCTGAGAATCCCGCAGGTGTGGGCCCTTACGCCAGCCGCGCATCGCAAGCCGAACCATGCAGTCCTTGGTAACGTCAGGCACCTTAGTCAAGTTGAACCAGAAACTAAGACCCGATAGCTTCCCTGAGACCGTAGCCGGAGAACACCCGCTAGCCTCCCACAACCAGAGCAACCGCAACATCCCTTGAACCCTTGCAGAAGTCGAAGCGAACCCACCTAGGTCCTGTTCTAAAGCGACCCAGTCCCCCCCTGCCTTACCGTACCGAACCCAAGTTGCCTCAGACACCGAAGACCGAATCCATTCCCTTATTCGCTCAGGCCAAGGGACCATAACTCTCTGGGACAGGGGAGGCCTTCCGTATCTGCTTCCGGCGCGGCCAAACGAAACACTTGCCAGTGGAAACGAGAAAGAGCATCAGCCGTGGTATTCTCCACACCAGGGATATGCACAGCGCGGCAAGTCACGTTAAAAGACAGGCATTGTAAAACCAAGCGCCGCAAGAGCCGAACCACCGGAGGGGAGGAGGCCGTTAACCTATTAATGGCCTGGACAACGCCCAGGTTGTCACAGTGGAACACAACACGCCTGTTCTTGATCTCTGGCCCCCAAAGATGGATAGCCACCACAATGGGGAAGAGTTCCAAGAAAGCCATGTTCTTGGTCAGGCCAGAGGTGAACCACGATTCAGGCCAAGGCTCTGCACACCATTGCTTACCCATAATAGCCCCAAAGCCCGAAGACCCCGCGGCATCCGTAAACAGGTGTAGCACCGAGTTCGTCACCTCGGGCTGCTGCCAGTAGGACCTGCCGTTATACCTATCCAGAAAGACTGCCCATACTGCCAAGTCCTCCCTGAGCGCCTTGGTCAAGCGAACGAAGTGAGACGGCCTCAAAATCCCAGCCGTGGCGGCCGCCAGGCACCGGTTGAACACTCTGCCCATTGGCATAATCCGACAGGCAAAGTTCAATTTGCCCAATAGGGATTGAAGTCGTTGCAACGTAATCTTTCGCAAAGCGCTCGCCACTCGCACCACCTCCCGAAGATCAGACAATTTATCCAATGGAAGCCGACATTCCCCAACAACGGAATCAATCTCGATCCCGAGAAAGCACAGGCACGTGGAAGGGCCAATTGTTTTGTCTGGTGCCAGCGGCACTCCGAACTCGCAAGCAACATCCGCCACTGCTTGCAGAAGTTGCGCGCATGTTGGGGAGCGCGCCGGGCCAACGCATAAAAAATCGTCTAGGTAGTGAAGCAAGGAATCGTAACCGGATTCCGCTCTAACTACCCATTCCATGAAGGAACTGAAACATTCGAAATAAAAACAGGATATCACACAACCCATCGGGAGGCACATATCCACGTAATAATGACCTTCGAATATACAACCCAGGAGGTGGTGGCACTCCGGGTGAACCGGTAGGAGGCGAAAAGCCGACTCAATGTCAGTTTTTGCCATAAGTGCCCCGGGGCCAGCAGCCCTGACCATATCCACCGCCGCGTCAAAGGACGCGTAGGAAACGCGGCACAATTCAGCGGCAATGTCATCATTCACCGAACCCCCCCTGTGGGTGCGATAAATGGTGAATCAGCCTAAACTTGCCTGGTTCCCTTTTAGGCACCACGCCTAGTGGCGAAACCCTCAAATCGGTGAGTGGAGGTTCCCGAAAGGGGCCCGCCATGCGACCCAACGCTACTTCCTTAGCCAATTTTTCCCTGACCACCCTCGGGTGATCGGCCACTGATCTCAGGTTCCGGCAGAAACCGGAGACCTGCCGGGCCCGGTGAGGGATCCAAAACCCTTGCCCAAAACCCTCCAATAACAAGGCAGCCGCCTTCTTATTGCTATAACGCTTTAGCCAAGGGCGCATCGCGTCGACGTCCACTGGCGTCCTCGCCCTTAGCGCCCATGGCATCTCCTTTGTCGCCAGTCTTGCCACGTTTGAAGCATTTTGATGCTGGGTGGGAACCGCCGCACCCGGAACATTCATGCTTGAAGCGGCAGGCTGAACCGAACTTACATTGGCCGTCATTATATTGCCAACAGTACCCAGTCTTCCGCTGACTGGCCGACGCTGAAGATGAGGACCCAGCGTCGGCCCCCCCAAGAAAGGACGAAAGGCCCCCTTGATGCGAAGCTGGGCGGGTCATGATGGCCAACCACAAGCCGATGTCCATTTGATCCCAACTCGTGGAAGGGCGAACCGCCAAACGTTGGCGGAACTGTTCATCATACCGCCACCACCCTAACCCGCCATAAACCCGACAAGCGTTCCATATCATGTCCTGGTAGCAAAACAGGGAAGAGCATTTGCTGGGAGTCTTTTCACCTATCACGCTAGCCAGGATAGAAAAGGCCCTAATCCAGTTACCAAAAGTTTTCGGAATCTTCCGATACCGAAACTTCTCTTTGTCTTTTTCAGACTCTTTAGCATCCGCATCCACCCGAGGAAGATCTTCCAAAGGGAGGAGGGAAAAAATTTCTACGAATTCCCCTTTTTCTATTTTAGCCATCAAATCAGGCGTCAGGTGGAGGCCCAGGGGGCCTGACCAGCACATGTACGCTGCCCCATGCGCAGCGGGTGCTACCCCTAGACCCGAGACAACCGCGGCGTCCCCAGTAGCACTCACAGAGGACTCAGATGTCACAAGTGGTGGCGCCGAGGCCAGGGTGGTGGTGACCTGTATAGAAGTGTCGGGTACTGACGCTGCAACCCCCGCAAAATCACACCCTGCGGAACTAGCCCAGCCCGCCCGAAGTTGGCTATCCACGGCCACTGGGGGGGGGGCCCCGGGGCGAGATTCCCGCTCAAGAGTTACAAGAACATTCTTGATAGCTTGGAGCACCGAACCCCACTCTTGCGACTCGCGTGCGCCAACGCCCCCCGAATCTAATCCGGCGAAAGCAGAATACTCACCGGCAGGAGCCGAATTCGAAGGTAGCAGCGGAACCGCAACTTGCGCACTAGCCTGCGACGGCCCCGAGGGAACTGCGACCGCAGGAAGCACCGTACCAGACACAGCGTCAGGGAACCGATTCTCGAGCTGACCAGGAAGAATCTGTGAAGACAGGACAGGTGAGAAAAAACCCTGCCCACCCACCCCAGGTGCTGGGGGACGCACAGTAGGGGGGGCAACCCTGCCAGATTTATGGATGTGACAGAGGGACCAGAGAGAGGGACAGCCAGGACAGAGGTAGGCCCAGAGGGTGCAGCATGGGTCATAGGTAAAGGTAGAGGAGGTGAAAAAGAATGCAGGGGGTAGGATGGGCGGATGAGGGTGGTGGGAGTGCGGCAGAGGCAAGCCCAGGGGAGACAGAGAGGGGAGTAGGAGAAGGGGGGGGGCTGTGTGAAGTAGAAGATTGGCCTGGCTCTAAGCCCCGACCCCCCCAACCCCCCACTGAGGACCCCGGCGGCCTGCGGCCTACTCACGTACATTTCTTGGTACGTGATATGTATATTTCTTGGTTTGCCGGCAGTGTACGTGATATGTATATTTCTTGGTTTGATGGCAGTGTACGTGATATGTATATTTCTTGGTTTGATGGCAGTGTTGTACGTGATATGTATATTTCTTGGTTTGCTGGCAGTGTACGTGATATGTATATTTCTTGGTTTGATGGCAGTGTACGTGATATGTATAGTTTTAATCTGTTGTCACGTACACTGCCATCAAACCAAGAAATATACATATCACGTACACTGCCAGCAAACCAAGAGATGTACATATCACATACACTGCCGGCAAACCAAGAAATATACATACTGATCCTCCACATATCAATGCAACACTGCCATATCAAACCAAGAAATATGGGCTATATCAGGTACACCGCCAACAAAACCAAGAAATATACATATCAATGCACACTGCCATCAAAACCAAGAAATATACATATCAATGCATACCGCCGCAAAACCAAGAAATATACATACGCATTAACCGCCGCAAAACCAAGAAATATACATATCACGCATACCGCCGTAAGTAAACCAAGAAATATACATATCAATGCATACCGCCATCAAACCGTTATAAAGCATATCAATGCACACCACAACAAACCAAGAAATATACATATCACGAACACTGCCATCAAACCAAGAAATATACATATCACGTACACTGCCGGCAAACCAAGAAATATACATATCACGTACCCTGCCATCAAACCAAGAAATATACATATCACGTACACTGCCATCAATCCAATAAATATACATATCACGTACCCTGCCATCAAACCAAGAAATATACATATCACGTACACTGCCGGCAAACCAAGAAATATACATATCACGTACACTGCCGGCAAACCAAGAAATATACATATCACGTACACTGCCATCAAACCAAGAAATGTACATATCACGTACACTGCCGGCAAACCAAGAAATATACATATCACGTACACTGCCGGCAAACCAAGAAATATACATATCACGTACACTGCCATCAAACCAAGAAATATACATATCACGTACACTGCCATCAAACCAAGAAATATACATATCACGTACACTGCCGGCAAACCAAGAAATATACATATCACGTACACTGACGGCAAACCAAGAAATATACATATCACGTACACTGCCATCAAACCAAGAAATGTACATATCAGGTACACTGCCATCAAACCAAGAAATATACATATCACGTACACTGACGGCAAACCAAGAAATATACATGTCACGTACACTGCCAACAAACCAAGAAATATACATATCACGTACACTGCCAGCAAACCAAGAAATATACATATCACGTACACTGCCGGCAAACCAAGAAATATACATATCACGTACACTGCCATCAAACCAAGAAATATACATATCACGTACACTGCCGGCAAACCAAGAAATATACATATCACGTACACTGCCGGCAAACCAAGAAATATACATATCACGTACACTGCCAGCAAACCAAGAAATATACATATCACGTACACTGCCGGCAAACCAAGAAATATACATATCACGTACACTGCCAACAAACCAAGAAATATACATATCACGTACACTGCCAACAAACCAAAAAATATACATATCACGTACACTGCCAACAAACCAAGAAATATACATATCACGTACACTGCCATCAAACCAAGAAATATACATATCACGTACACTGACGGCAAACCAAGAAATATACATATCACGAACACTGCCATCAAACCAAGAAATATACATATCACGTACACTGCCAGCAAACCAAGAAATATACATATGACGTACACTGCCATCAAACCAAGAAATATACATATCACGTACACTGCCATCAAACCAAGAAATATACATATCACGTACACTGCCAGCAAACCAAGAAATATACATATCACGTACACTGCCAACAAACCAAGAAATATACATATCACGTACACTGCCATCAAACCAAGAAATATACATATCACATACACTGCCAACAAACCAAGAAATATACATATCACGTACACTGCCATCAAACCAAGAAATATACATATCACGTACACTGACGGCAAACCAAGAAATATACATATCACGTACACTGCCGGCAAACCAAGAAATATACATATCACGTACACTGCCAACAAACCAAGAAATATACATATCACGTACACTGCCAACAAACCAAGAAATATACATATCACGTACACTGCCAACAAACCAAGAAATATACATATCACGTACACTGCCATCAAACCAAGAAATATACATATCACGTACACTGACGGCAAACCAAGAAATATACATATC